AAATAATTTCGAATATTACATTAGAGGAATATAACGAGACCAAAGAGGTTGTTCGTATTATGGTTTCTCCTGTACTCTTGTATTACTACCGCCAGCGCAAAATAAAACTTGTTAGCTCTCTCAAAATTGGCGTGCAGATCTTTTGCCCAAAATCCTTCGACTCCCTTCGGATAATTCCTTCTCCGATTCAAAATATGTCAGAGCAACCGATCCCGTGCGGACAATCGATCACGGGAAGGTTTCTTTTTTTTCGGAAATTAGCGGAAAATTTTAGCGTTGGCGACCCATTTCGCGAATTATACAGGATTGCCGTACCTGGCGCCCAACGTTCAAACATTAGCTTTCGAGCTGGGTCAGAAAGCCGACGGTAATTGAGGCGAGAAATCGTCGCAAAACATAGAGAATACGTAATGCACTTAATCTCAGCGAGAAATAAGTCATCGATCGCCATCGAAACAATGTCGAATGGACGTCGACTTGACGGTTTCGATGGCGATTCGACACTGTTTCGACGTTGATGAACGAGTTATTTTTCGAGTTATTATATGCTGCAACTTTTATCCTTTCGATACGCCGTTCACAAAATTTCTTTGAGTGAAATATAATAAAAAAATAAAAAAAAGAAAATAAGTCATCACCGAGTCACTCAAACTTTTTTCAGTTATGTGCAATAATTTTTTATAACTTTCCACTCATATAGAATGATTTTTCTGAATCATTCTGAATCATTCTGAATTATTGAGATTCTGAATCATCAAATGAGAATTTTCACTAAATATTGAAGAGTGAATCTGATATACATACAGTGAATTGCAAAATGATTTAGATACAATGAAGTTGAGCTAACTACATTGTCAAAATTATAAGTCATTACTACTGACAGACTTATTCAGTAATTTTATTATATATTGTAGTGGAATATCGGAAAGAGCGAAGAGGTATATCGACGCGTACTCAGAGTGAGAAGTTGAAAATTTGTATTTAATCGTTCTTTTACAAAGCCGTACACTGACGTTATTCGCGAGCTCCAGTTCTACGCGGAAATTGTAAGCGACCCGCAAGAAGTCGCAAGAAGTCTCATAAGAAGAGTTGTAAGAAGAGCGCACACTTTCTTTCGCAAGGTGACTTATATAACCGTCAAGACAATTCTCGATAAGTCCTTCAGATTCCTCATCGACGATTTCAGAAGGAATCCAGGAGGAATCGTCGATACCGCCTATTATTGAATCGAGCAACAAAAACTGTTTACATTACCTCTCGTTGTCAGGCTACTCGATAATGTCGAGATGATGTGAATCTGTAGATCGAGATTCTGCTTTCAATACTATTATTATTATTATTATTATTATTAAGTGTTCTTTACTATATTTTTAATAATATTATTATTGCAAAAGTTGCTCGGTAATGACTTTCAATTTTGCCAATTTTGTGAGCTTCCAACTTCATTGTGTCTAAACCGATTAGCAATGTATTGTAAACTCAAGATTTTTCAAAGTCATAAGTTGCATTTATTTATCGCATCTTTGGTAATTCAAGTTTGAATTATTTATTAAAATAATAAATAAAAAAATAATAATATAACAAATAACGTGTGTTAACCTTAAACTTATCTTTTTTAATATTCTTTTTAACTATCCTAACATTCTTTTATTAATTGCATAAAAAAATATATTAAAGGAAAAATCCTCTTTATTGAACTATATGAAATGTAAAGCTCTGAAAATGCCACGTCTGCTTTGAACACGTTCCCGCTTTTTCGATGAATGAACAATCATAAGAAAGATACAGCTAGAAACGCTCCCGGCAAGAAAATATTAAAAATATATAATGACTATCGATTTCTATCGATGTTGGGAATAATAAAGTATCAACGGCGTATATATCATCGTCACAGCACATATCACTCAATTAAATTAAACATTCGTTTGATTATTATGTTTTCTTATTATGTAAACTTGTTAGCGCTTCTCGTTGTTAGCGTTTCTCGTTGCTGTACAAAGTTCAGTACATGCTTTTCCGAATAAAGTATATATTAATTTCCTTGTAATTTATTAGACAGTAGGCTCGCCGACTCGTTTTAAACTGTAAAGTTAGTGCAAGCCATGCTATATAATAATAAGCAGATAATAGCATAATTTCGTTAATGTATGTGTCGTGTACGTAAATATTACTCTTTAACACTATAAGTACAAATAGAATAAAAATGACTTGTTACTTTGTTAACTTTGTATAAACATAACTGAAATATTTATAACAATGCACTTTATATTTTTTACTTATTCTTTTTGAATAAAATTGCAAAGAATAAATAAATAAATAAATATTTGCTCTCTCTCTCTCTCTCTCTCTTTTCTCTCCCCTTTCTATAAACGTATCTTTCTAAAAATGTCTTTTTAATCATTCAGAAGAAGATAGATCGTTAATCATCAGTAGTTTAGACCTTTCATTCTTTACGCACAGATAATTTAACATCACCATGGTATCGAGCATGAAGTGATTAGTCGAATACTGACGGGCTTTAAAAAAGGCTCCGCCTACTCGAGCGGGGAACGTTTCGTATCATACGTACAGATACAAGTGCGTAAAAGCCATTGGTTATGTTAAGAGAAAACTGCTTTGCAACTGTAGTAAAATTCGTGAATCCGATTGAAGTTCTCAGGCTATGTTTACAATAGAAGTCGTAAAGTCGTAAAGTCGTAGATCCTAAGAAATTGACAAATTGAGAATTGATTGTGATTTGAAAAATTACAATCGATTTTTTCTGAACCGCATGGAAAATAATGAACTGTGTATTGGCCAATAGTCTTTTGAATTACAGCTTAATGATTTTACGACCTCTATTGTGGACGATTTCTTAATCTTGGCTGAATCAAAGAGCATCTACTAATTAGATTCACGAATTTTACAATAGTTGTAAAGCAACTTCCTCTATTGAACGCATCTATTGACGCAACTGTCTTGAAAAATATTTGCAAACAGCACTCGGTTTATTAACACTGATGTGCTTCGGAAATCATTATAGCTTGTATCGAATAATAATTCGTAATGAACATGCTATAATATTTTAACCTTTTCGATACGGCGGATACTCGTCGTGTAGCGTGACTTAATGGTCCAAAAAAAGGAATTATATCACTTTATTGATCAAGTCATAATATCCCACATTACTTCACTGCATAAAAAGTCTTATTTCAAAAGTATTGTTTCGTATTTACGAAATTTTGTCATGAATTCTGCTTTGTAATAATCTTGGATTGGATCGGGGGTCAATATTTTTCAGTGCGAGACGGGGAATAGAACGTGAAAATCTTGTATGCCTCTACATCCAAAAACAAATAGCAGAAGTAAATTTTTTTTAATGCATTTTTCGCATTTATTTGAATTCTATCTATTGCGATTGAATGCGAGGGACGTTTTGATTTAAGTGGATTCTTTTTAATGTGAAAGTTCGTATTCGTTAAAATTTTGCCACTTTTAAAAGAGATTCAGGCTTTTTAATGTAAAATTAAATATACTTCACTGTTTGACAATACAATTTTATAGACAAATGTTTATTAGTTTAATTAATAATTAGAAACGATTCCTTATAATATAAGAAAATTAAAATTTGTAAACATTTTGAATGAAAACATTCACCACTATCGTCTCATATTCAGTGCAATGAAATTTAATACAAACCAAAAGTTTTCAATTCCTTCGCTGGGGCCAGAAAAATAAATTAAGAAATATTGAAAAAATATTAATATTTTTTAATTCTTTTCGATCCGACATTTTATGCAGGATTGTTTTATTAAACAACCAGAATAAGGTGAGACATACTGTTATATATGTTTATGTAAGGTGTTTTCATGTTTATAATGAGTTTTATTCGACTGTTTATTGAACGTTTATCCGATAAGAACAGGTATATTGTATCCACGTGGAATCTATATGGTTGACGTAAATGTATTGTTGTTTAATGCTCTGCAAAAAATGTTGGATTGAGAAGAATTAACAAGTATTGATATTTTTTAATACTTCTAATTTCTGCTTTCTGATCCGAACAGAAATATTGAAAAGTATTGATTCGCATTAAACTTCATCACGCTAAATGCGAGATGGTAGTGATAAATGCTTTGCATAAAATATTTATAAATTTTTACTTTCTTATCATAAAGAATCATTTGTTCTTTGTAATTATTAATTAGACTAAAAAACATTTGTCTACAAAATGGTATTGTCAAACAGTAAAGTATATTTTATTTCGCCCTTACGCATTGAAAAGTATTCGAATTTCCTTTCAGAGTGGTAAAATTAAAACAAATACGAACTTTCGTTTAAAAAAAAATTCACTTAGCTTAAGATTCCTTGCATTCAATCGCAGTAGATAGAATTCAAGTTAATGCGAACTCTCGCATTGAAAAAGATTCACTTCTTCTGCTAATTGTTTTCGGATTCAAAGGCAAGATTTTCACGTTCTATTCCCTGTATTATAATGAATACATATACTGAAAAGTATTGGTCCGCGATTCAACCCGAGATTGTTGTAAAGCAGAATTTACTACAAAATCGTGTCTAAAAAGTTGCAAAATAGTTGTTAACATATATTTTACATATTATTATATTAAGTATAAATTCAAACCTATATTTTATATATAATTACGAGTAAAGGCATTTTAAACGCCATTGTCGTTGTCTGTACCGTGCTGCAGTACAATCTGTTTTATAGAACGCGCGCCCGTACGCGCGATCGTGAAAAATCGGCAACTATGCGCCTAGCGTATGCGCATGTTTTCTAATTAGTCGGTGTCTGGCACTGCAACGAGAGATGTCGGCGAATGATTCTGTGAATATATATTTAATCGTTAAATATTAATTATATATATATATATATATATATTATGCAACAAATATGTTTTATGAATTTTTCCTGAACGCGGTGATGACGACGTCCACGACGGCGGCGTCTGCGGAGGCTGCAATGGCCACGACGGCCACGACGGCCACGACGGCCACGATGGCCACGACGGCTACGACGGCCACGACGGCCACGACAGCCACGATAGCCACGATGGCCACGATGGCCACGACGGCTACGACGGCCACGACGGTCACGACGGCCACGACGGCCACGACGACTACGTCGGCCACAACGGCTACGACGGCCACGACGGCGACCGAGCCAATTATATTAACTGTAAGTATGAAAATCTGTATATGTCTATGCTGATCTATACAGGGTGCACGATTTATCTGAAGACATTGAAATATCTCGAGAACTATGCATTGGATAAAAAAAAGTGGTTAATGAAAGTTGTTAGTCTCGAAGGGGGACATCCAATGACACCAAACTCGACCTCCCACCCCACCCCCTGGGGGTGGGGGTTGGGGGCAACTTTGAAATCTTAAATGGAAACCCCCATTTTTTATTGCAGATACGGATTTTACGCCACAAAATACGTAAATTTTGTCCGAAACGTTTTTTTTATTCGTGATAGATGGCGCTGTAATCGCAAAAAATTATATTTTCCGCAATTCTCCAGAAATGATCATTGGATTGAGAAATAAAAAATACCTGTTCAATATTTTTAAAGAACATAATAAAAGTTATTCCCCCCCATCCTCTCGGGATAGGGTGGGTGATAACGTTAAAATCTCAAATGGGGACCCACATTTTTCATTGCAGAATTAGATTGTACGTGAAATTTTTATTGAAACAATTTTTTTCATTCGTGATAGATAGCGTTGAATTTTTCCGAGAAACTACTTTTAGCGTTACACAGGAACAACGACGAGGACGTAGTAGTTTTATGTTCCCTTCGGGTGCTTTTTTAATGTGAGTCCCCTTGCCTCTCATAGATCGGGGTGCTTTTTTAATGTGAGTCCCCTTGCTTCTCACTGTTCAATTAATTAGAGTAAGTGTTCGAAATTTTTACCTTCAACTTCAATACACTTATTGATCCTTTTTTCAAATGACTGTACACAGGATAGAAGCATATCTGCAGGAGTTTCAGGGCAAGCGTTTCTTATGCGTTCTACCATGTTTTCACGAGTTATTGGCACTTGTTGATAAACCTTATCTTTTAGGTAACCCCACAGAAAGAAATCCGGCGATGTCAAATCAAGTGACCTAGCAGGCCAATTAATCGGGCCACCTCTGCCAATCCACCGACCATTGTAAATTTAACAATTGCTTGCCGCATGCAAAAACTCTTTCATCATGGTATACTTCGGTGCATGGTGAACCGGGAATAAACTCCGAGTCACTTCAACTAATAAAATGTCACGTCACAAATCTATCTTATCAACTAATTGGAGCAATGTTTGATGAGATGGCTATATGTCAGCATGTAGAGTATAACTCTGGTACTATTTTGGGATATGTTGATTTTGGCAATAATATTGAAAGCGATGGTGCATTAATAGCCAAAGAAGTTCTGGTTTTTTGTGTGGTTCGTTTAAACGAAAATTGGAAAGTGCCCATCGCTTATTACCTGATTAATGGTATTAATACAGAAAAAAAGCTAATTTAATAAATCAATGCTTGATCGCTTTGCATGAAATTAACTTTCAAATTATATCTGTAACGTTTTAACATTAAAAAAGCACCCGAAGGGAACATAAAACTACTACGTCCTCGTCGTTGTTCCTGTGTAACGCTAAAAGTAGTTTCTCGGAAAAATTCAACGCTATCTATCACGAATGAAAAAAATTGTTTCAATAAAAATTTCACGTACAATCTAATTTTGCAATGAAAAATGTGGGTCCCCATTTGAGATTTTAACGTTATCACCCACCCTATCCCGAGAAGATGGGGGGGAATAACTTTTATTATGTTCTTTAAAAATATTGAACAGGTATTTTTTATTTCTCAATCCAATAATCATTTCTGGAGAATTGTGGAAAATATAATTTTTTGCGATTACAGCGCCATCTATCACGAATCAAAAAAAAAGTTTCGGACAAAATTTACGTATTTTGTGGCGTAGAATCCGTATCTGCAATAAAAAGTGGGGGTTTCCATTTAAGATTTCAAAGTTGCCCCCAACCCCCACCCCCCGGGGGTGGGGTGGGAAGTCGAGTTTGATATCATTGGATGTCTCCCTTCGAGACTAACAACATTAACCACTTTTTTTTATCCAATGCATAGTTCTCGAAATATTTCAATGTCTTCAGATAAATCGTGCACCCTGTATATTATATTAAATTATAATATATTATATTAAATTGTAAGTTGTTATTTAACGCTTTGTCTCATATTTTAAAATTAACTTATTGTTATAGCCTAAAACACTGCAAAATATCATTAAAGCAGCTGTCGTGGCTGCAGTAGGAAAAGGAAGAGGGAAAGGGAGAGGATGAGGCAGAGGAAGAGGAAGAGGCAGAAGCAGCGGCGAAGACAGAGGAAGAGGCAGTGATGGTAGAAGGGGAAGAGACAGAGGTGAATGGAGAGGAAGAGGCAGAGGTGAAAGAAGGGGAAGAGGCAGATACGATACATTTGGTATCAACATTTTTCTACACTAACACACACATATATACACATATGTATAAATATTAAAAAAATATATATATTGTAAAAAAGAAAATTCCACAAATTTTATATTTATTCATTGTCAATTTCCGAAGTTTCCAAATCATTTCCTTTCTTAATTACGCGAAACGCAGTATGTAAAAGATGAAAGATAAGATCGCCGATACCTCGCCTCGTGCTTACTGCCGCGCGCCGCTCAGTAGTGAGACAAAGACGGAACGATTGTCTGTCGTTTGTCTTTTTCTAACCTACTATCCATTGCATGGAAGTAGTACGGACACGAACCTAGGCGCATTTTACTTTTATCACCGCGAAAGTGCGCCTAGCGGACGTAGTTTAGGCGCATTTTGGTCAGATGGCGTATTTAAAATGCGCCTAGCCGTACCCCCGAAATACGGCCGGTGGCCGCTCTCATTCTTCTCTCTGGCTAAATTAATTAGATAAAAACGAAGAATCGGTCTTCGTCTCACCACCAGCGAATAGACAATCGCGACGAAGCGAGCCAGCAGCGATGTTATCGTAAGGCAGACGTCGCCGTCCCCCCTTTCGCCCCCTTGTTTTCCTTTCCACATTGTTTTATATTCATAATTCGGGAAGAAAATAATTTCGAGAGTTCGGACGATTTCTAGCAATGACGCGATAGAGATAACGCGCGGCCACATTAATTTGTCATGACTTTTATATTACTTATAATTACATAAACGCTCATATATGCAAATTATAGATAATTATTGCGCGTATATTTTAATATTGTACAATATGGCACATAATAACAACTTCATTTCTTGCAGTATTTTTTTAAGATCTTCGTTGAGGTCGTGAATTAATTATTTTCTTCATCAATCAGTTTTCTGCAAAAAATAAGATTTTTTAAATAAAATATTAAATGTTTCTCTTCTCTTCTCTCCGAAGAGTTAATTAAAAAATATGTACTCCACAGAGTCAACTAACAAATGTATAGTCAGAAGAGTCAATTTAAAAGTGTACTCCGAAAAGTCAATTTAATAGCGTATTCCGAAGAGTCAATTTGAAAGCGTATTCTGAAAAATCAAATTAATATTGTAATCCGAAAAGTCAATTTATAATAGAATATTTACTTCGATGATTCAGCTAAAGCAAAAATATTTATTATTATATTCAGAGAATAATAGTTAATTTATTATTTATACTTATCTTACTTATGCTTACCCTACATATGCTTCTTTGAATGAAAAATTTAATTTGTTGACTGATTCAGATTCAGATTTGTTAAAATATCTCTTATGCGCAACTCTTGAACAGGTAGGTAGTAAAATAACTTTTTTCTTTACGAATTTTATAAACTTTTCACGAACATGAAAATTGAAAGATTCTCAGAGAACAAATAACTTTTCTTGAACATTTAAATCAAAGGAAAATCTTTTCCCATTAATAAAGAATGAATAATTAATATCTCACACAAGAGGAATCTTCATCCTTGAAATAACCGCGTGATTTTGCTTTTAGAAAAGTATAATATTGATGTAACAGTAACAAATGCTACCCAATAACGGTGCAAATCTTAAACGTTTTTGAGAAATGCAGTTTGAAGTTTAGTCTTTTCTGTTAATGTTGTTATAACAGAAGAATTACCAATTTGCTTCAGTAGTGCAGTGGATGAGGCTTTGTGATATGAGCGTAGAGGTTGTTCAAGTGTGTTATTTTTACTATCACAGGGAGAACTATGTAGAATGTATAATAATACGCAGACAAATTCTTTACATAATCATACTTATTTTTTTAGCATGAATAAAAATGATCAATGTTAACGTGATAAGTGTATATCGCAATTGTACGTGTACGCAATTGTACACATACACACACACATACACACGTATACCACTGATGTCAAAACCGAACAATTCGTGAAAATTTTTTATTGATCGCAATTGTACGCAAAGACGAAAGAGAAGTACACGGGTCTCCGTGGGTATCTCGTCATATTAATTGTCTATGAGCTGATAAACAGTTGATCTCCGGTATTTACAAGTTACGCTTGTCCGCAGCTTGTTCGGTTTTGATATCATTGGTATCAGTGATGCGAATTTGGTGACGGGCTTGCACGAGGATTCTCCCCCCCCCCCATGCACGCACACAGCCAGCTCGGCCTATCCGTGTGAGCCACGCGATCGGCAATTGTCGACGCGCCGAGTGAGCGAGAGAGAGAGAATATCATTCCCTCCTTATCGCTCTCGTTCTCGCTCAGCGAGCGAGCCTAATTCTTTCTTGTCCATAATCTGAATCGCGGGCACGACTGTCTCTCTCTCTTTTCCTCTCTATGATAATACTGAAAAGTTTTGTCTACTCGGCGCGCCGAAATTATTACAAATAATATTTTATTATTAATAATATTATTTGTAATATTATTATTTGTAATTTTATTTGTAATTGTATAATAATATTACAAATAATACAAATTTTTACTAATTTTATTTGTAAAAATTTATATCATTTGTAATATTATTTGTAATAGTATTGATAATATTCGGCGCCAAGAAAATGAGATATATTTTATTAATTATTTTGCGAAGTCGGGCAGGTTCACAGGTTTGATTATTGAATTGTTTAATAATATTTTAAGAATAATTTTAAGTTATACAAGGATGTAGTATGAAATATAAAAGAATATTGTAACAGAATCAAGAAGTACGAAATGAAACCTCTTTGCTTTTATTACAATATCCTGCAAGATAATACATATTTTTCATACGGTATTAAATAATCTCCAAAAACAATTACATCCGTGAAATTTTCTATCTGCGCGAAAAAAATTCATAAAATATATTTGTTTCGTCGCTCTAAATGAGAAAACTCTCAGAACAATGTTATAGTTGTTCAGTGCACTATTCAATAAAAATATAATAATACTATGTTTGTATGTGTGAAGAATATTTGCTAACTTACAGGATATTGTAATAAAAGCAAGGAGGTTTTATTTCGTACTTCTAAGGCCAAGACTTATTGACGGCTAAAGACATATTCGAATTGATCTTGCGTTAATTGGTCGGATCAGTGATCGGTCTTGCCTTAACTTCCAAGCCTTATAACTCGGAATGTACTCAATGAAATGTAACTTTGTTAGAGTGTTTTGGAAAGCTCTCGAGATAAGCTACAAGAGTATGTAATAAAAAATCGTAGTTTCTATTTAAAAAAACATTAATGACCTTGGCCTGATTTTGACAAGGTCACTTCACTCAAGGTCAAGTCCACATTTCCGTTATGTGTCGTCCTTCAAGCCACGTTCAACGTTTGTTCGAAAAATTTTTTAATAAAATCATCGATAATGGACCATATCACTTTAGTTAGAAAAGTCTGGAAACGGTCAAATACCTCGAAAACGAAACATTTTTAAGAAAAATGTTTCCAACTAAAGTTGTAGGGTTTTAAAAGTTCTATTGAATGATCATATCCGGTTGACCTTGAGTAGAGGAGTCAAGGCGAGGCCAATGCCAACATGATTTTTTAAATGGAATATCCCATTTTTTATCACACAGTGTTAAAGTTGACAGCGAGATGTTTCTGAAATACTATTTGATGACCTACTTTTCCCAACAACTAAAGTATCAGTAGCAGGACAGTTGTATAAAGTAGTGAATGCCATATTTCATCATGGATCGTGCATTGCAAGCGGTCATTACACAAACATATGTAGAGAAGGTAAATCTGATTGGATTGAAGCTGATGATACGCAAATAAAAAACACTGGCCCAGAGGCGCTACAAATGTTTGTATTCTTTTCATGGCAAAAATTTAACACGTTTATTAATAGTATCCAATATTTCAAAAAAATATCTTTTTAAAAGTTATTATTATTCAAGAAAAACCTAACGACAGAAAATGTACGTAACATAAGCTTTTACAATTGTAAAATTTATTATAAAACTTACCTTTTTAAACAAAAAGGTAAAAAAAGGCGCCAAGTACAAGCACAACATGTATTGTATTATTTTTAGAAATTTCAAATTCAAATTTTTTTTTTAAAGGTATATATGTGTACATAACAGGTTTTTACAAGTATCGTCTACTTAGTTTCCGAAAAAAAAAATTCGCGAAAATAGCTTATTTTTCTGGCCTATAGACAGGATTGCCTCCTTAATCGGCATTTCTGCTAAAGAGAAAAGAGGAAAGCGCGATATATGGCTATTAGAGCGAGCGAGACACCTATAGAGACAGCGCGGTGTCTCTATAGCTGTCTCACTCCTATTGCCTGCATTCAAGCGTAGAGAGAGTGAGACAGCTATTGGGGACACCATTAACCGTACCACGTCTGGTAATGCTTTCTCTCTTGATCGTGCGACGTGCGATAAGGATGCAACATCGGAACGTCTCTCACCACTTCTCCTTCTTCGCTTCTCTCGCGCTGTACAGTACGCCCATATGCATATGCGTATATGCCTGTCATCGGTTTCGATTGTTTTACAGGCGTATACGACATCGCCGAGGGACACCATACCTGCCTCTGAGTGTACTTTTCTTTCGTCTTTGCGTACAATTGCGATCAATAAAAAATTTTCACGAATTGTTCGGTTTTGACATCATTGGTATACGTGTGTACGTGTGTGTACAATTGCGTACACGTACAATTGCGATATACACTTATCACGTTAACATTGATCATTTTTATTCATGCTAAAAGAAATAAGTATGATTATATAAAGAATTTGTCTGCGTATTATTATACATTCTACATAGTTCTCCCTGTGATAGTAAAAATAACACACTTGAACAACCTCTACGCTCATATCACAAAGCCTCATCCACTGCACTACTGAAGCAAATTGGTAATTCTTCTGTTATAACAACATTAACAGAAAAGACTAAACTTCAAACTGCATTTCTCAAAAACGTTTAAGATTTGCACCGTTATTGGGTAGCATTTGTTACTGTTACATCAATATTATACTTTTCTAAAAGCAAAATCACGCGGTTATTTCAAGGATGAAGATTCCTCTTGTGTGAGATATTAATTATTCATTCTTTATTAATGGGAAAAGATTTTCCTTTGGTTTAAATGTTCAAGAAAAGTTATTTGTCCTCTGAAAATCTTTCAATTTTTATGTTCGTGAGAAATTTATAAAATTTGTAAAGAAAAAAAATTATTTTACTACCTACCTGTTCAAGAGTTGCGTATAAGAGATATTTTAACAAATCTGAATCTGAATCAGTCAACAAATTAAATTTTTCATTCAAAGAAGCATGTGTAGGGTAAGCATAAGTAAGATAAGTATAAATAATAAATTAAATATTATTCTCTGAATATAATAATAAATATTTTTGCTTTAGCTGAATCATCGAAGTAAATATTCTATTATAAATGGACTTTTCGGATTACAATATTAATTTGATTTTTCAGAATATGCTTTCAAATTGACTCTTGGGAATACGCTATTAAATTGACTTTTCGGAGTACACTTTTAAATTGACTTTTCTGACTACACATTTGTTAGTTGACTCTGTGGAGTACATATTTTTTAATTAACTCTTCGGAGAGAAGAGAAGAGAAACATTTAATATTTTATTTAAAAAATCTTAGTTTTTGCAGAAAACTGATTGATGAAGAAAATAATTAATTCACGACGTCAACGAAGATCTTAAAAAAATACTGCAAGAAATGAAGTTGTTATTATGTGCCATATTGTACAATATTAAAACATACGCGCAATAACCCAGACAGCACAGGATATCCTATGGACATCCGTTTTATGTCCATTTCTGGTCGGGATATCCATGGACTTTTATAAGATGTCCATAGGATATACATTTATGGACATTCGAGGGATGTCCTCAATTGGACAAGTTTGTATGTCCATATGCTGACCTTATGTTAAGAGTCCATGTACACTGCAAATGCTGCGATGACTAATCAGGAGTCAGGTACAGCTTGGGTTCCGGCGCGCTTGGCTTCTTACTGATTACCATAATATTTGCCACGTATGTAGGTCTTAACATTATTCGTACAACATATTAATTGGCTGCAGTGATGCGCTTGGGTTCGATTATTGGTACATGCGCAGTACCAGTAATGCGCGCATCCTGTGCAGGAGCCATTATTGATCTCTTTCCGCCTGCTTTGACCGAGTCATCCTAGGATCACACATTGATCAATTCTTATCCGAGGTAATCCTTTTTCTTTTCCAACGTACATAAAATCGTATTGTACCGTTCGCTTCATATGATTATAACGATATTAACACCATATTTATTTATCGTACATAAGCAAGGCATTAAAAAACAAATATTCTTCCAAGAATAATATACTGTAACATGTAAAAAATTAAAAATAGTATTTTAATTGCGTTTTTATAACATATCTTATGCTTAGCAAGAGAACGACGCAGATGATGGTATAAAGTGTAATATTTCTGACTGAATTGTTACATTGTATCACGCCATAATTGAGGTTAGTTTCAGTTATACAGAATACATAGTAAACATAATTCCTGTTGAAACATATAGTTGATCCAACATTGCATTAACTATACATTTCAGGTTGGATTTATATTTGCTATGCATCTTACTTAAGTAACATGAATTTCAATTATAGCGTTAGATAATTTAACCGTTCAATCAGAAATATTTACTATCTGCTTTTTTGTTGAGCAACATTAAATATATATTTAATATATCATTAAAATGCAATATATCAATAAAATTAAAATGTATTTTTAAATATCTTTTTTTATGATAATATATAATTTATTGCAAGATTTTTATTTCTATATAATTTCTTGCCTATGTATGAAACAGTAATTATAAAATAGAGTAAATATGAATAAAAATAATGAAGTATATATAAAAATAACTTTTAACATTTAAGGTACAAAGTACCGCAAGTAAGTTACGTAGAGTAACGCAGGTACAAGTTGCCAACACTAGATGAGAGTATTTAGTATACGGATATATAAGTGACTAAACCAAGTGACCAAACCTCCGATCACTGTGTTCAGGGAGTTTATCATTTTCAAGCTAATCTGTAAGTAAAAATTGCAAAACCTCATTTCTTGATTCTTGCAAAATGAATTATTTATAACCTATTAATTCCTATATTTTATTTCATTCTTGCTGGAACTAAATTGTTCATCATATTATTGATAAAAAATGATTGGGCACAATAATGCACAACTTCTTTTAATGAACTTGTTTCTTTTTTCCACGAAAGTTTTCAATTATATCATATACAAGATACGATTTTCTTTTTATAACTTGTACCTGAATTGTACATATTTATGCTGTTTTCATATATAATACACTTTTTTATAGTGTTTCTTATATCAAAAGATATACTCCATATAAATCTCTAAATCGCATAAGAAAGATTCTACTAGTTAAATGTAAATTTGGAAATTACATTCTTGTAATATGCCAAATAGATCATTTAAACGCAGAAGCATATATAGAAAGGCAACGGAAAAAGCAAATTTGGCTTTAGCTTTAAGTAATTATATGGAAGAAAAGTCTGCCAATGCAATTAATATTGCAAACAATTGTGATTTACATACTGCAACATCAAGTTGTACTAATACTTATGTAAATATGTTGACTGTACAACAAAATTCACCTATCAGTGTGTGACAACGAGTTTTTATTGACATCTGACACTGAAATATTTGAAGAAGGGATGGCAAACGTTTCTATTTTAAATGATTTATCTGTTAATTTAAACGAAAATAATAATCTAAACAACGATATACATAATATTGAGCCTACAAATATTAGTTTACGAATCAGAGAATGGGCAATGTTACATAACATTGAGCACTTCGCTATTAATAATTTATTATCTATTTTAAAACCCGATCATCCAGAGCTTCCTTTGGATGCTAGAACCTTATTGAGGACCCCGAAACAAATTAATGTTAAATATGTAGACCCTGGCATATACTATCATTTTGGAATAGAACACTGCGTAATAAATCTACTATTACAAAACAGTAATAGTATTACCTCAAATTGCATTGAACTTTTAATCAATATAGATGGTTTACCGATAGCTAAGAGTTCCAGTAGCCAGCTTTATCCTATATTGTGCTCTATTTTTAGTATTTCACATGTAGAAATTATTGGAGTGTATCATGGAAATGCAAAACCAAGAGATGCAAATGTTTTTTTAACAGATTTAGTAAATGACATTAATAATGCAGTCTGTAACGGTATATATTACAATACAAAAAAATATTTCATAAAAGTGAAAGCCTTTATTTGCGATGCACCTGCAAAATCATTTATCACTTCTATTAAGGGTCATTCAGGATATTATTCATGTACAAAATGCAATGAACCAGGTGAATTTATAAATAACCGCATCTGTTTTCCCAATATTAATAACTTAACTTTGCGTTCTGACAATGAATTTAGACGTAAGCATCAGGAAGAACATCATATAGGTACTACAATATTAGAGTCTATTGTTGATTTTGACATGATACACTGCTTTCCACTAGATTATATGCATGTTATTTGTCTCGGGGTTGTAAAAAAATTACTTATGTTGTGGGTATACGGAAATCCATCAAGAAAACTGTCATTCAATCAAATATCAAATATTTCACAGTCCTTACTGAATGTAGCATGTAATATAACTACAGATTTCAATCGTAAACCTCGTAGTCTTGATGAAGTTAAACGGTGGAAGGCTACTGAATTTAGACAATTTCTTTTATATTCAGGCCCAATAGTTCTTAAATCTGTTATTAGTCATGACAGATATATGAATTTTTTATCTCTACACGTAGCTACTTCCATCTTATGCAAATCAAAATATAAGAAGTATTTAAATTATGCGAAATCTCTGATGTACTATTTTGTCAAAACATTTATAGTTTTGTACGGTAGGGATCAGGTCTCTCATAACGTACATAATTTGTTACATATTTGTGATGATGTTGCAAGATTTGGGACATTAGATCAGTTTAGGGCATTTAAATTTGAAAATTATTTACAATTATTAAAGAAATTATTAAAGAAACCCGAGAAACCATTGCAACAAATAATTCGCCGTAAATATGAATTAAATAATGTTCCGTTACATGATACTCATTTGCATTCTTTGCCAACTCTAAAAAAACTACATCACTTGGGACCAATAATTAATAACATTTCCTTTATTGCGCAATATAAAGAAGTACAGTTAAATACATTTGTATTAAAAACAACCGAACCGGACAATTGTTGTTACACAGTCAATAATAAAGTAATAAATGTAAACAATATATTATCTACCACAACTGGTATATTACTAATAGCTCAAGAATTTTTATCGCTTGAAGACTTTTATATAAAACCTTGCAAATCATTATTTTTGGGTATATATTCTGCTAAAAATCTAGGACCACTTACATTATGGCGACTCGATCAAATATGTAACAAATGTGTGAAATTTGATTTCCAAAATATACATATAATTTTTCCATTGTATGCTACATTTAAACTCTGAGATTAATACTTTTTAATATATTATTTATGTGTTGACTTTATCAATTACTTCTTACAAAACGTCTGTAAATATTGCAATGCAATAATTTGTTTTTTCCGTTGCCTTCTTTTTCAGACAATAATTTCTTTTACATCTTCTTGTACAATAATATTTAATTGTTTGTTTCATTAATACTCTTATACAATTTGAGAATACATTTGTGAGTATATTTTCCATTGAAGAAGAAATGGCGAAAACATGGACAGTTGTTAGATTCGAAGACGAAGATGTTGTAGAAGCAGTTCCAACAAAATGGATTGCTAATGGCACATGTTATTGGCCAACGTGTACAACAGAAAAGGTGTTAAAAGCTGTAAAAGATCATGTTGATTTTGATACTTCATGGAATAGGTATAAAGTATATGTCTTCAAAAATAGTACCTCAGGTAAGGAACGGAACATATTATAGCTATATTATATAACAGATTTCTTACAGTATATAATGAAAGTGGCGGCACACGGTGTTTCTTTGCTGCATTGCCTATTAGATGGAAATAATGCGTTTTACTCGTTGCATTTCCGAAGATGGATAGAAATACATTAATTAGGTTGCGATATTTTTATCCAGCAAGTAATTCTGCATGAAAACAATCACTGTATGCCGTCGGCTTCAAACATTATTCCAACAATATTACGAAAATAATATTTAATATTATGTATTACATATTATATCTATATTAGAAAATTTTTGTGTGAAGTGAACTTTTCAAAATTGTAATTCTTTTGTTTTAGAAAGTTATTACGCTTGCAGACTAAAAGCGAAAAAAGCTGAAGATACTTCAGGTTTAAATTCTGATTGTCCTACAAAACGAATAATGAAGAAAAATCGTTATTATGACAGTAATTATGACGTTAGCTCCGATTCGGATAATGATGCAAATGATAACACGTTACCATCTCCACCAGGTAAGATTTGTTGTCTTTCCTTGTACACATTGCTTCGTGCATGTTACTGTTTACACAATAATTAAAAAAACAATTTTTTCTTTTTTTTATATTGCTTTTGTATAATTAAATTATGTGAAAAGTAAGATAATAAGACGCACGTATTTATATATTTTTCAAAATTAAATATATAAAGAAATATACGTTTCAGATGTACAAGATTATTCTGATACAGAAATCCAAACATCAAGTAAGTTTGAATTTATAATTTCATAATATGGCTTATAATGTATAAGCTAATTATTAATATTTGTATAATTATCTTATTAGTATCTTAATAATCTCTTTATTTTCCACAAGAAATTGGCAAAAGTGGAAAAGAAACAATATTTGTTTACAAAATAAAAGCTGCACAAAATCCAACTCAAAAAAAGTACTTTTTCCATAAGCATTTTATTTTATAAATGTTTGTGATAATTTATACAATCACCCATACAGCACAAATGTTCAAAATTGGACATACATCTTACAAAGTCTTGAAGGCATCCACTTGAAAAATATCATAAGGACGACTAAAAGACCTGTAATGTCCCGATTTCAAACATTATGTTGTTTAAGGAGATAGCGGAGTGATATCAAGTAACCATATAATTACATCTCTAAAACGTCTGATGTTTTCAAATGACATTATTAGACCGTAGCATTTATCTGTCCTTTTTGTATCATTTATCTGCTGACAAAATTATGACGTCAAAATGATATCACTCTGCTGTCTGAGTACAGTTCAGACATAATTATAGACTTGCATATTATATTAAATGTGTAATATGTATTTCAGATATAAAACATGACTCTAATAATAACTTACCTACATCTTCTGTAAAAAGAAAGTGTTATAATAAAGAAAACCGTAGACCATTAGGTAACTTTTTGTTTACATAACTGAAATATGTATCAACGATCATTGCATTAATATTAATTAATCCTTTAGAAATGTGCCGAAATAAAAAACGAAACATAAATGTTAGAAAAACATATTACGATTCTTCATATGACAACGTACCTGGACCATCGAATACTGAATCATATACTTCTAATATAGAACAAAAAAATTCCGATAAAGGTACGTGTTTGTGTCGTAATTTTATATATATTTCAATAAGTAGGATATTAAGGTTCCTCGGTACTAGCATCATCCATCTCTTTCTAATAACATCAGAAGCGAGAAAACGCATGCTAAAAATTCTTGCGTTACATAGCTAAATGAAAAGATATTCTCAAAAAATAGCACTCGGAATGACTTCAGCATACTTGTAAAAAATTCCGGGTGCTCATCTTTTCCTTGAACAGTCAATAAATAACCATAAAATTAACGTGATAAAATAAGATAATATATAGGTTAGAAAAGAAGGTTGCATGTCACGTTAATTTTATGGTTATTTATTGACTGTCCAAGGAAAAGATGAGTACCCGGAATTTTTTACACGTATGCTGAAGTGATTCCGAGTGCTGTTTTTTGAGAATATCTTTTTATTTAGCTATGTAACGCAAGAATTTTTAGCATGTGTTTTCTCGCTTCTGACCTCATTAGAAAGAGACGGACGATGCCAGTACCGAGGAGCCTTAAGCATTAATATTATAAACTGGAAATCCATTTTTAATATTATATTTGATTGACACTGGTTTACCAGAATCTGGGTTAATTTAATGATGTCATAAACACTGTTTGGCCTATCACAAAACTTAAAACATATTAATATATGTCATTAATCTAACCCAGGTCGAGTTGGATTAATGACATATTTAACCCAGTGTCAGTCGAATACGCTATTAAATATTATTAAGTATAAAGTGTGTGGGTGCAGAATATAATATAACATAACATAATCCAATATAAGGTGATAGTTTTTTAACTTTTAATTATTAACTATATTTTAAAATCATTTTCATTTATAGATTATTGTACTATTTTGTAGTTAATTTAGAATATTTAGAACACACAAAACAATTAATTTTCATTTACACTTGGTTATTGAGTTGTCTGCAGTAATCCTGTTTTATCAAAGGCGACAAGATCTATGTTAATTTAGAGCTTAGTATATGTAGAAATCAAATAATATACATACACTCAGTTTAATTAATGCCGTACTATTCCTTACATCTAGATTTATAAAACATTTATTTTACAAATATGGTGATTCGATTACGAGTTACACTTAGTACAGTCAGTTGCATTAATGTCATGCTATTCCCTACATAAATATTTACTAAACATTAATGTTTGCCTATGTTCCGATATTCACTGTCAAGTCTGAAATTCTATAGCTTATATCACATGTTATAAATTTTCAATACTGAGAGTAAATATTAGAACGCAGTGCAAAACATTAATGTTTACTAAATCTATATATAAGCTGTAAAATTAACATAAATCGCGAAAAAATAACAGCTTTAAAACTAATCGCATGTTATATTAATCTTTGATTCTGTATTGATTGTTGAGTTTAAACCATGCGGCCATTTTTATAAGTATGCTAAATCGGTAATAAATTTCACTTTGTACGTATATTATTTTATTTTCAAATGCATTAGGTCGTCAATTGCCATGCCATCTCTCGTTTCTGTCATAATGCAGAATTTAAACGAAGATCAAGCAACCTTAATAAGAGATACTTAACACAAGTACATAAATAAAGAATTGATTTTTTATTGCACATGTCTGTAATATTCATTACTAAACACACGTATATTATTGAACCTGTTGAATTTTTTTTGTTATATACATAGAGGTAAATATGCATGCGTACAATGGAACTCGTACAAGTGCTAATAAAAAGACATTGGATGATGCTAATCTTTGCATATGCTGTCCTGTACATAAAAATTACGATATGTCATGCAATGCATTGAACACTTTTAATTAAATGCTTTTCAATCGCTTCTATATTATAAACAAATACACTTGTATTAATATTATAATTTATATGATCTTTTTAGATGAAAAATTTCGGAGAGTATTCAAAGAATTATTTTTGTTAAGAGAAATAACAAGAGAATGAAAAAAAATAAAAAAATAAGCAAGAAATGGTCTACATGTTAATTCTTAAATATACATTCAATTTTCCTTTGCAAACTGTTGAAGATTTGGATGAAGTAGAACAGTATCTTCAAGAACCGAATCATTTTCAATCCACTGTATGTTCTCTACATTTTCTTCTTATAAGTTATTTTTTATAAGTATATTATTATTTACATATCATACAAATTGTAGGTAAAACAATTATCAAAAATGGGAGGAACAACTCCTTATGATTTTGTCAAGAGATGTTTGTCGCTTCTTCTATCAAATAAATTCTCTGAACAATATTCCTGGTATGGTGCTAAAAAGAAACAAGTATTTGGAAAACTATTTCTCGCACGTCTGTTGCAAGGTAAATAGTTACCTCGAGTATTATTTTTAAGATGGGACACTTGGTTGTATTCCATTCTTACAAGGGACATTCGGCAACGCGGAAATTCAAAAAAATCTGAAACTCTGCATAATTGTAGAGCAGATATACCTAATAACAAAACAATTTTTCGTTGGTGCCCAAAAAAGGTTTTAAGGGTGGAAACAACCCCTTGAACAAAGTTGATTTTTGTCTTTCTAAGCGAATATTATCGAAACTATTAAAGATATGAAAAAATGTTTTAGACAAAAGTTTTATGGTTTTAAAAGTACTTTATTATGCTATATTTAGATTTTTTAAAAATGTAAAATTGTGTATAAAATACCCCCCTTCCTTCTCTTTTTTCAAATTGTTAAAATCAATTGTCCAACCAAAATAAAGCTTATTTTATGACAAATTCAACCATATATAATAACATTATGTTTGGAAAAGGCAATATTGAAAAAAAAATTAAACATGCTCTTATATGTATGCTACGCGTACCAAACTTAAGGATTCGCTACTTGACGATGGCATTTCTTTCTTCCTCAAATCTTCCTCATAATTGCAAACTGTAAAAGATAAGGAAGGAAGAAAATAGAAAATCTAAAAAAGCAATAAAGTTGATGTTAAGAAGTAAGTAGGAGAAAAATAGCATGATAAAGATACAGTCACTAATATTTAAAAATGTTATAAATTATAAAATTTCACGTAATAGACGTTTATTTTGCCAACATTGCGGCTACCTTTTTCATTAATTTAAACGACACGCGTAAATATAAATAAATATGTGTGTGTGTGTATGTGTGTTTTTGTACGTGCGCACGTGTGTGTACATCATGGCACATGCAAAACACTTGTCACAAGTTTTATGACTGTGCGACCAAAATAGCACTCTTTATCAAGTACAGTGCAATCAAGGTTCATTATATTGACATATGTTATCTTCATTCATTTGCATATAAAAGCTGTCCATTTTGGAATACATTTCAGTGTTATTGAAGCAGTTATTGAAGCAGTACGTATATTATTATTGCTGTGAGAAATGTTTAATTAAAATATCCTTAAGATTTGTATCATAATGTCAGTAATAAATCCAGCTAATGTTATTAATTTGTTAATTGCGACATTTCATTTCACAAATATTGCAATAACTCCTGTTAATCATCAAGAGGTGGAACTCCATGATACAATTACTGATTTAATAAAGAGTGCTATACATTATGATATTACGATCGAACATGAGTGGGGACTTGATTTTGACGATCCATCAGAACCGCATGACGTACAATTTGTAGATGTGTACGATATTGATGCTGAAGAAGATAATTATGGAAATGAAGTTTGCACTGTGGATGATGAAGGTGGAAATGTAAACTTAAATTATAAGAAAAAGGCAATCGAATTTTGGAAGAGTGGAAAGAAAGGACATTGTACAGTGACCGGCAGTGATTCGTTCCGCGACAGAGAGAACTCTATTTCCCCTCTCGCGGAACGCATCATTGTCGGTCATTGTACATACGGCTTTGACTATAAGTATAAAGCATCCCAAAAAATTTATTTAAATTGTGTAACAAAAACATACTATATGAATATATGGAGAACATAATATAGTATACGAGTATATGGAAAAATAATATAATAAAAAAATATAATATAAGAATATGTGGAAAATAATATTTATTTTACAATATTTATTGTAATATAATATAATATTAATATAATATAAATTATAATATAAATATAATATACATAAATATAATATATACATTATATTATAAAATATTAATATAATATTTATTGTAAAGAGATTATATATTTACTATGAGTATATGCATTGATTTCTAGGAAAATACAATGAGTTAGAGATGCTTTATACTTATGATCAAAGCTGTAAATTATATAGTTAGAGTCGCGTTGTTTTTTATTTTAAGTTTTACAATTTGATGTTTCGTGAACATTTAATTCGTATATAACTTCTTTTATTTTTGAATTCGAATTGTTTAATATTGAGATTTGTTTTCTTCTAGGTAAAATCTATTCAACAATTGCACAGATGGCAAGAACATGTAATGCGTGGGGGTTCAAATACAGACAAACTTGTAGTTATTGCTGAATATGTTCTTATAAAATTCTAAGAAGCTGTTAATAGAGGACTTATTATTCATGATATAAATCTGCGAAAATAGGCACTAGAAGCAAAGGAACAAGTGGATTTTTCTTCATTTAAAGCAGGAAATTGGTGGATATGGAATTTTAAAAAGGCACATCGTATTACATCACGTAAAATAACTGCATTTAAAACGCGGTCTTCTCATTTAACTGATCTAACTATACGTCAAAACGCTGAGGAATTTGTAAATACAGTAAAGCCACATATTAATGTAATCGGTGCTGAATCAACTTATAATGCAGACGAAAGTGGCTTTAATTTAGAAATATGCAGGAAGAACATTAGCTAATGTAGGAGTGAAGACAGTTGGAGCTACTATCCAATCTTTATCTGCTATGACTCATAGCTACACCATTATGCCTATTATATCTGCAGATGGACATCTCCTTTCGCCTTTGTATATAGTATTAAAAGAATCTACTGGTGTTTCTGGACCACAAGTAGAACAAACTCTTTTTAGACCAGTGAATATTTACATTGCGGCTTCAAAATCAGGGAAATTGACAACTGAACATTTCAAAAATTGGTTCCAAGAAGTGTATCTACCAAACACTGGAGAGAAAAGTATACTACTGCTTGATTCATGGACAGGACATTGCCCGAACCAATTGGAAGAACTTGTACCAAAAGACAAACATGTAAATATTCTAACAATACCAAAAAAAACAACTGCTTTTATACAGCCATTAGATGTTTTTGGTTTCAGAATCTGGAAAAATTTTGTTCGGAGCTTTTCTGATAGTGTTATTATAAATAATTATGACATAAATTTACATTTACGTAATAACATAATAAAATTGCAATCTTTAACACACAATCAACTGTCTTCTCCAAGATTTCGAAATTTATTTAGATATAGCTGGTATAAAAGTGGTTATTTATCAACACGGCCTGAAAAATTTCATAATCCAATCGATTATTGTTATTTTAAAGAAGAAAAACGTATACCAAAATGTAGCATTTGTGGTAAAATGGCTTTTATACGTTGTGCATGGTGCAAGCAATATTTTTGTTTTGAACATTTCTTTGAGCAATATCATTATTGTAATAATTATATAGAATAAATAATATTTTACTGTCCTCAATTCTTGTAAAATTTGTATATATTATATATTGTAATATTATAATCCATACCAAAATATAAGATATCTTTCACTCGAATATCTATATCGACTACTTAATTAATAAAACCTATATACTGAATGAAGCAAAACACATACACACAAATGTACACTGAATAAATTTATAAATTATATTTTTCATTATTAAATCCGTGTGTGTTCTCCTTTTTTCTTCATATCATTCATTTCCTTATTTGTTCTTTACAATTGAATTTAAAAGATTATCTATATTAGGGTTATATACACTCTCTCTGCGTCCTCCTTATCATGCTGTTCTTCTTCAACTTACTTCTTAACATCAACTTTATTCTTTTCTTAGATTACCTGTTTTTATTCCTTCCTTACCTTTTACAGTCAGTAATTATGAGGGAGAAAGAAATGCCATCGTCAAGCAGCGAACCCATAAGTTTGGTACGCGTAGCATATATATAAGAGCATTTTTAATTTTTTTTTCAATATTGCCTTTTCCAAACATAACGTTATTATATATGGTTGAATTTGTCATAAAATAAGCTTTATTTTGGTTGGACAATTGATTTTAACAATTTGAAAAAAGAGAAGGAGGGGGGGTATTTTATACACAATTTTACATTTAAAAAAAATCTAAATATAGCATAATAAAGTACTTTTAAAACCATAAAACTTTTGTCTAAAACATTTTTTCATATCTTTAATAGTTTCGATAATATTCGCTTAGAAAGACAAAAATCAACTTTGTTCAAGGGGTTGTTTCCACCCTTAAAACCGTTTTTGGGCACCAACGAAAAATTGTTTTGTTATTAGGTATATCTGCTCTACAATTATGCAGAGTTTCAGATTTTTTTGAATTTCCGCGTTGCCGAATGTCCCTTGTTAGTAAAAATTGATCGAAAACTGGATTTGTATTTTTGAACTGTTATTCATGTATATTATCATTGCTTCACATTAACATAGCTATATTACAAATATAACATTTGTCTATATTATATTTTTTATTTATATTTATAGAAAGTGCCCTGCAGTGTGAGGCAGCGAAAAATCGAAAAGAGGTCGAGGAAGGCATTAAAACTTGGCTAAGACGAGCAAAAGAAAGGGCAGAAAAGGAACAAAGATAAAATGCATCTTCAAGTATGTATATCTAAGTGAAAGCGCTTACAACGTAATTTTTTATCAATCAGATAGTAGATATTAAGAAGAACTTCATTTTTCAGTACATGGAAAGTTCAGACATTTGAAATCTGAGTGAAATGCTAAAAGATTGATTATTTCCCAATATATTTCTTTTTCATTCTATATGAAATGGCATCCTTACTTTTTTTCTGCTAATTACACGCACCTGAACGCGTAACATACGTGTAACACGTGAGCCCTGTTTATTGACGCGAACGAGTCTTCAAGCTGTTAAAGGCCACAGCTGATTTCAAACATGGTTCCATAAATATATAGACAATATTCGGCTATATTATCTTATATTTAAAATAGTCTTAAGATCACCTTTAGATGCTTCACAACTCATGAAATGATTTGTACATCATTTGAAGATGAGTCTAAGACGAACTTTATATAATTTTGTTATGAATGGAAATAATAATAAATAATGAACGCAAATTAAAGGCATTATTATCAAAGTTCTTACTTAGATATTAAGTTTCAAACCAGTACAAGCTACTAGTCAGCGCAATAATATGAATATTTTTATTTTGAAATATAATATGTTATTTTGAAATAAATGTTAAATATTAGAGATATAATATATGTTATGGATATATTATGGAATAATATATGTAACAGTTGCAAAACGGTTTAGACAGTTGAAGATCCATTTAGGAACGAAAAACATTAGATATGTGAACCACTGATCACGGGCTTGCGCCGTGACTGATTATGACAGCAGCCGTAAAGGCAATATAGTGTGAAGATAAAAATAAAATGAAGTATCTGATCGGAATAGATCTTTCGTTTCGTTCTTAAATGGAACTAGACAAAGTCTGAAACCGTTTGAAAAAAAGTGTAAGCATGATACATGCATTTAGATAATAAAAAATTATTATAAATTCAATAAATGCATTTTAAAACGTATAACTTTAATATTTTTTTATTTATAAATTACACAACTGTCTTGTACATTACAAATCCGGATACTCTATTGGATGTCCATTACATGTCCATTATACAACCACTGGATATCCATCGGATATCATATGGACATATTAGGGATTTTCGCATGTCCACCAATTTCATAAACGTATAACCCATGGACGTCCACTGAATGTCCGAAGGATATAAAATGGATATCTTACGGATATCCTCAATATCCTTAAAGGACATCTTATGGATGTCCACTGGTTATCCGTGTGCTGTCTGGGAATTATCTATAATTTGCATATATGGGCGTTTATGTAATTATAAGTAATATAAAAGTCATGACAAATTAATGTGGCCGCGCGTTATCTCTGTCGCGTCATTGCTAGAAATCGTCCGAACTCTCGAAATTATTTTCTTCCCGAATTATGAATATAAAACAATGTGGAAAGGAAAACAAGGGGGTGAAAGGGGAGACGGCGACGTCTGTCTTACGATAACACCGCTTCGTCGCGATTGTTTATTCGCTGGTGGTGAGACGAAGACCGATTCTTCGTTTTTATCTAACTAATCTAGCTCGCTCGTGAACATAGCACAGAACAGAACCAAATAATTATGGACATAGCACGGAATAGTACCGACAAATCGTGGACATTGGCTTAGTAGTTCATGTCCATAAAAAATGGACCCAGTTGGCGCTTCGAATCAGCCAACTTTTCCATAACGCTGTAAATGCAGCCATGTCCGCTCTCAGGTTTCTCTCTGACTCGGGAAAGATGAGAGCTGCTGCTCCGCCTGCGGAGCACGCCTGCGCAGTAACTCACAACGAAAGGCGAAAAATGAAATATACGTGATATGACATAAGTATGTCAACAATCATTGCGTTTAGCGGAGAAAACCGCTCAATGAGCGATTAGTGACTATTGGTCCTTACTGTTAGATTCTTACATTCAGACCAATAACGTTGACAAATTATTCAACAGTTGCTCAACCGTTGAGTGTCGTGAACGCACCCAATTCTTACATTTTGAAAAATCAGCAGCGGAGGGATAGATACAGGCCCCTGACACTTGCTATTATATCCTTTGTTACGGTATGTCTACGTAATGAAGCCAAGCCGCTACGTAGCGCTAGCAACAGTCACCATGTGTTTACGTCTGTAATTTCAATGACTTGAGGTTAGAAGTGTGTTAAAGCTTCGCGAGAAAAATAACAAAATAAAAAGTAAAATCAAATATGTATCTAATAAAAGTAATCTTAATTTAATTAAATGATGCCGCGCTGTATTGCACTTGATTGTACATCAGGTTACACTTCTAATCATGAAACAGTTCATTTTTTTTATGTGCCAAAGGACGAAAATGTGAGAAAAGCATGGCAAGCAGCTTTAAGGAGAAATGATATAACTATCAACTCAAAATAAGCTGTATGCCATCATCACTTTTTAAATAGTGATATTTTGTGGAAACGTGAAATTTGTGATGAGAAGGGAAATGTTCTTGGTGTGGTAAGTTATGTTAGTTATCTAAGTCATTTTTCCATTTGCTTAATTTACACCGATCATTTAATACTGATATAATATTCATCAAAAAAACTATTATACTAGTTTAATAAACCATTGTTTACATGCATAAATTAAAATTATTAAATAGAAAGTTACTATTTAGTACAAGTATTAAATAATCAGTATAAAGTAGGCAATATAGTCAATAATATTTAATAATTTATATATATATAACAGCAATATTCACTTGTTGATTTATTAAATAATAGTCATTTAAATAACAATTATGTAAGTTATACTTGTCATTATTAATTGTCATATTGTAAATATTTTCTTTAGTCTGCGCCATTTAAAATTCCAAGGCTACGTAAAGGGGTTGTGCCTTCACAATTCCCCTGGTTTGAAGAAACCCCAAATATAGAAGATATTCTATACATATTGATCAAAATGTACATGACCTGCATATTGAACAACATGAAGAAAATGAACATGTGATAGTACCATCATTAAATAATACAATAGAGGATCGTACGACAATGTTATTATTTGATAGCTTAATAGATAGTATAAACAGAAAACAGTTTAATATGCCAAGTCAATGGATGCACATACAATATTGCAGTAGTGACACACGATTATTGGTATTTTTTTTAACAACATGCAACAAAATAGAAAATTATAATGACAGATATTCATTTAACCCTATCAAAGAAGTCATACTCAAAGAAGATATGACATTACAAATAAATGTCTTAAAGCAACCCGTTTTAAATATTCCATCACACATACAGATTTATAATAATATAAATAGAATAGAACTGCTACAAGAGACATTATTTTCTTTTGATAGCCTTGACATATGTTGTGGTACAAATAAAAGTGAGATTAAAGATGTTGAATATAATGAAGCTTTTAAAGATATTAATAGTATATGGAGACACAAGAAATGTTTATTACTTTCATCCCAGAAATGTAAATTTTGTGCCATTGCAAACAAATCTATAAATCAAAAATACCGTCGGAGAAAAATAATGAAATCAATTAAAAGAATAAAAATAGCTGTATCAAAAACAGAAAAACAAAAGAAAATTTTATTATTACGCAAACGATATTATAAAGCACAAAAAGCAAAAAATAGAGCTAAATATATATCAAATAAATTGAGAAAAGAACTTGCAGATAATATGATGAAAGTAAAAGAAATTTCAATAGAGAACATAAAAGACCAACTAAAAGAAACACAAATTTCTCAACATCAGTTAACTGCAATACAAGAAATAATAAAAGCTGCGAAACATACAAATATTAAAGGTCACAGATATAGTGAAGATTGGATACTATTATGTATGTTATTACATATGAAGTCACCTAAAGCTTATAATTTTTTAAGAAAAAACAAAATACTACCCCTTCCATGTATTAGAACTATGCAGGTAATATACGTACATTTTTTTATTATTTTAATATAATTTCTACTTAGAAATATGTATAATATGGTATGAGTATATGGCGATTTTTATATAACAATGCAATATATGAATTGGTTTTAGATATATTTCACTTATTGATACACCATGCGGTTTCGACACAAAATTTTTTGAGATGTTTAAATTAGCATTGGAAAAAAAAGAAGAGAGACAAAAACATGGTGTAATTTTGCTCGATGAAATACATCTTAGAGAGTCTGTTAATGTGAACTCTAAGAATCTCACATATACAGGGTTGATTGACTTTGGAAGTGAAGGGATACCATCATTTAATCTTGATGATAAAGCAGACCATGGATTAGTAATAATGTTTCAGCCACTTGCAGATTCTTATTCCCAACCAGTAGCAGTGTTTGCTTCCAAGGGGCCTGTATCAGGAGAAGTACTTGCGCAACTAGTAATTAAGGTATATACAATATGCAGTGCAAATATTTTTATATATATCATATTTTTCTCATAATTCAGCAAAAAATTGCTAAATATGTAATATGCTTCATACTGTTTTTATTTTTTTTATATTATAGGCTATTGCATTATTAGAAAATATCAATGTTAAAGTCGGTATAATTACTGACGGTGCTGCAACTAATAGAAAATTTTGGAATATTGTAGGTGTATCTGGAAAAAAAGATGATTTAATTAATGTTTTTAATCACCCCACTGTAAACGGACGTTATATATATGTATTCTCAGATATACCACACCTTATCAAAACTATTAGAAATCGATTATATAGTACATCATTACAGGTAAAATAATAACTCAATTTTTATGTAGTTGTATGTTACTTCGTGCATAATGTACTATTAAGAGAGATTTCAGAAAATCGAAGTATTATTATTGTTTTTCGAAAAAATAGTGAATTTCTCTTATATTTCATTTAGCTTTTGACGTTATGCCGCGTCCTTCATAAATTTGTTTTTTGACGTTTTGTGAACTTTTTACTTCATTTCTTGAAAATGAGGATCAATTTGATATTCTGTATATTCAATATAAAATCGATCCTTATTCTAAGAAAGTGAAATGAAATCCTCACGAATTCTCACGAATCGTCAAAAACAAATTCACAAAGAATGCGGCGCAAAGTTGGAAACCAAGTCAAATATTTATTCACAATACGAAAATTTAAAATATTTAATCTCTTTCGTTTTTATTTTTAGCTCAATCCTGATGAAAAACATATCAAATGGGATTATTTCCGAATATTACATAATAAAGATAAATCGCTACCAGCTCTAATGCGAATATGTCCAAAAATAACAACCAATCATTTAATACTTACTAACGCAGCTAAAATGAGAGTTTGTCTAGCTACTCAAGTAAAACATCTTAACAGTATTTTATTTAACGTTTTAACAGATTATTTAATAGAACAGTCTAATAGTTTACAAAATATATCTTTATATAAACGCCATTGTTATAGGTTTTTAGTAAATCGATGTCTCATGGATTGAGATTTTATAAAAATTTCTTACCTGAATTACAAGAATGTGATAACACTGCAAACTTTTGTGAATGGATAAATAACTTATTTGATGCACTAAATCGAAATAAAGTTTCTGAAGGTTTGACTGTTGAAAATACGGACTACAAAGTAAATTAAATATTTTCAATTAGTTAATAATTGTTTTGTAATTTATATTCGTTTTTGTCTATATATTTATGTATTTTGAAGAAGCTAATATTATGCTAAACGTTCAATTTCTTAATAGATTTTAAAGACATCTCTTGAAAAATTAGATGCTTGGGAGCAACATGTCCTTGATGGTACTATTAAAGAGGACAATTTTTTAACAAACTGCTGAAGGTCTTCGCGTGACGATAAAATCAACATTAGATATAGTAAAATATTTAACGACAAATGCTGGTTTTCCCTTTGTTTTAACAGGCCGCTTGAATCAAGATTCACTCGAGGTTTGATAACAAAGCTCATATTTCAGTAATCATAATGTTACATGTAACATATATATGTTAGTTAAAATTTCCTACTTAACATGTAAATGTTATATAACACACATGTTACATAATAGCTACTTGTTGCTACTTGTAGCTAATTGTTGAGTAGGAAATTTTAATTAACATGTACGTTGCATGTAACATCGTATTTGCTGGAATGTGTCTCCAGGTAACAGAATGACATCTAAAGACGTCTTAATGATGTATTATTGACATTAAAGGCGTCATTAATAAATTATTAATGTCACTTGATGTCATTTTGTTGACTGGATATATATATGTCTATATATGCAAACATTTAATTATGAAAGACACATGTATATATATATATATACCCAATCCTAACATTATTTACATACTTGGAACATCTTTGGATCGTCCCTTGCACTGTTAGAACAGTACATAAAAACATTAGATCATCTTAAAATATTGATTATAAAATCAATCCATCAATTCATGTGTGTGTATATTCTATGATATATTTAAAAATATATACAATACCTTTTAGAACTGTGACAAAAAATATTTAATTTTTCGTAATACCTTTGAACGTTTATTATAGGAAATATTTAAAACATTATTTTTATTACAAGTTAGTATTAATATGTTTTTATATATTGTTCCATAGAGATTTTTTGGTTCAATAAGACAAGCAGCAGGATCTAATGACCATCCCGGAACCCCTACCTTTCTCCAACTATATAAAATTTTGAGTACTTCAAGCATCCTTGAGCCTCCATGTTATGGAAATTGTTCTATTGCAGATAGTACAAAACCTATAATTTCTATATCTGATATAAAACAATTATATGAAAAACCAGATAAATCCTTAACAAAATTAAAAGACCAGTTGGACCATGCTGTTGAATACAGCGAATGGATTCTTGATGATATAATAATAGATCATGACTATCATCTACCTGAAATAACTGATTGTATCGTCTATTGTACAACGAGATATTTATGTAATTATATTTTAAAATTTATAAAGTGTGATATATGTAAGAACGCTATTACTGATCCCATAGCGTGTAGCCTTTTTCCTGTAGCGCTGTTAATAAATATCAAAACTGATGGTCGTCTAACACATCCAAATTTAAACATGTTTAAATTTATAATTTACTTAGAAAGCTTATTTTCAAAATATTGTCATCGTGCTGATGTATATGAGACCATTATAGATAATATTTATACAGAAAATTTGTCTTTTCCATGTAAAGAACATGGTGATGCTATTTTAGCAAAAATAATCGAATTTTACATCTGTATGCGCATGAGGCAATACTGTCATAAAATTAATAATGTGAAAAAGAAACAAAGTCAAAATATTAAAAAAACTGCGAAATATTATAAAAATTAAATAAAAAATATCCTAAAACAACAAAAATACTTTATTATTTATGTACCTACCTTATTTTATACTATTTATTTTATTTTGTGTTATACATTTTGATTATATAATTATAAAGAAATATATATATATTTATATTTTTATTAATTTATATATATATATATATTATTATGGATCAAACATCTATAGTAAGAATTCGTAACATATACATATAAATTTGTATTATGCTATTGTGAAAAAAGCGAATGGACTTTCAATAAGTTCATAATAAAGTATTATTATCTACCTGAAATTACAGATTGTATTATCTATCATATAACAATATATTTATGTAACTACATATTAAAATTTAGAAAGTGTAACATATGTAGGAACGCATTTACTGGTCCTATATCATATAACCTTTTTCCTTTAACATTACACATATATACTAACTGTGTTGACTGTTGCCAGCGCCGCGACTTCAATAAGTGGACACCTGAAACTACGAGAAACGGGGGGCTGGATAGATACATAAGGTGCATTCAGTACTACAAACGTTCACTGAGCGCTAAGTGAGCTCTTGCATCTGATTGGTATATATTTTTAAATCTAAAAGAATATACTTATCAAATGTAAAAGCTCATTGAGCGCTCAGTGAGCGGTTGTAGTACTGAATGCACCCATTGCGCAAGTCATTCAAATGGGAATGCGTCTTTTACAAGGTATTGAACAGTTATGTATATTAAATTTTAAGTGAAATCGTATTTATTTAGTCACTAATCGCTCACTGAGCGGTTTTCTCCGCTAAACGCAATGGCTGCGTTCAGTAGAACAAAATGATCAGTGAGCGCTTAGTGATTATTGTCTGTGATTGGAGCATTCTTTTAGATTCTTCATAGACCCAGAAGTATTTACCAATCAGGAGCGAGAATCACTAAGCTATTATAGGAATTACTTAACATAGTTGGTCCTCTCATAAATCAAGAAGAAAATATAAATGTATGTACGAGCAAAAAGTTGATGTTTACAATTTGGACATTATCTAAACCTGAAAGTATTTTAGCAGTGAGTGATAGATTTGGGTTAGCCAAAAGCACTGGCTACCAAATATTTATTAATATATGCTTTGGCACAATTAATGCCTACTTATGTGCAATGGCCAAATGTAGTACAATGTGATTTATCTTGTTCTGTAAGTTATTTCATTGGAGTTATCAATTTTTACTAATAATAATTAATAAAATAACAATTTTCTTATAAGCATTTATTAAATTTAGATATTTGAAGTTCGATCGCGTGGTTTCACAGAAGTAATTGGCGCTATAGATGGATGTCACATCCCCTGCAAGCAACCTGTAGGAAATGCGAATGATTATTATAATCGAAAAAGTTTTCATTCCATTATACTACAAGGTAAGGATATATTGTAAATAAAATATACAGAGTCTGGCAAAAGTTCCGAAACGGCTAATTATTTCAAAAAATAATGATTGTTTAAAACAATGTTTGAAACAAAAGTTGTAGGGCTTAAAAAGAACTATCAGATAGCTATAAAAAAAAAACATTGAAAAAGTTACCAAGTTATCCTTAAATATTTCAAAAAATATTAGGTAAATAAAAAATGTTTCAAACAAAAGTTGTTAATTGGTGGAAAAAGACGGTGTAATAAAAATTGGAGTTTCCATTTAAGATTTTAATGTCGACCTTGATAACCTTTCTCAAGGTCATCCCAAGGTCAAACAATTATCAATATCTGATAGCTTTTTTTAAGCCCTACAACTTTTGTTTCAAACATTGTTTTAGACAATCATTATTTTTTGAAATAATTAGCCGTTCCGGAACTTTTGGCAGACCCTGTATGTATATTTGAATATAAGCAGTAATTACAAAAAATATTTATAGGTGTTTGCGATTATAAAGGATTATTTATAGACTGTTTTATCGGAATGCCAGGTCGCATGCACGATTCAAGAGTTTTTAGGAACAGTCCATTATTTAATGCCATAAGAAATGGATGCATTCCAGAAAATCGACATATTATAGGAGATACGGCATATCCTCTGTTACGAAATTTAATGACACCATTTAAAGATAATGGTCATTTAACGCGTTCTCAACTTTTATATAATATTAAACTAAGTTCAATAAGATCAATTATTGAAAGAGCTTTTGGAACGCTTAAATCAAAATTTAGAAGACTGAAATATTTAGATATCTCAAATTTTGACCTAGGTAATAATATGATTGCTGCAGCCTGTGTTTTACATAATTTTATACTAAATAGAGACGGATTTATAATGGAGGACGAACTAGTAATGGATAATGAATATGTACAGCAAGAAGTACAGCAAGTTCATATCGTCTATGAAGATGTTGAAGCTATTGAAAAACGTATGAATATTGTCCACAATCTTTAAATAATTCAAAATTAATTTGTTTGTATAAAATATATATTTTTTTATTAAATATATAAACAATAAAAGTACATAGATATATAAATGTTGTTTTTATTACTTGTATTCATTGATTACATTAACTTTTTTTATTGGATTCAATTAAATTTCGCAATATTTCATTCCTCTCTCTTTGTATACTGTTATGCTCATTTATTGCTTCCTTCAACTCATTTATAGCATTTACTCTTCTTTCTTCGCAGTCTAATTGCTTCTTTCTAAGATCATACAAGGCTCTCGTTCTTGTACTTTTCATTTTCTTATTTTTTCTACCGGAGAACTCATTATCAGGAATGGGATTGGTTGTTGGGATTGATGGGATTGTGACACTGTAAGAGTTATGTCTGTTAATTATAGTGTTAATATATTGATCATATGTATATCGAGTATCCGCTTCATTTTTTACATCGTATATGTTACAATGAAAATTTAGTTGAGCACAATCTTTAAGCCAATTTAATTTTGCATTAATATATGAATATAGAAAAGTATTAGTAAAACGATTGAAATTACAAGTTTTTGTAACAGTTTTGGAAAAGAAATGGTTTTTAGGTACTTGTACACACCAAACTGAAGATCCACTGTTTATTATATCTTGTCTTATTTTTGTGTCAGAGCAATTTGAAATTGTCATTTGTTCTTCTGTACAACTTGAAGTAGATGCTAGTGATGAAAGGACACACTGCTCAATATTATTGTGATCAGAAGATATCATAGACGCAAGTGTTGCACCAATATTTATGGTTTTATCTTCTATAAAGATGTTTTCCACGATGTCATACCATCCCCAACCAACCCTACCACGTCCTGTACTTGTCTTTTTATTACTGTCCTTTAAGCTTTTATAAGATTGTTTCAAATTTCTTATTTTACGATCCAATACATCTTCGGTAACATCATATCCCTTTGATTTGAAATCGTTAACTATATCTGTCCATAATGTTCTTTTTTTCACTTTTGGGTCTCGAAACTTATCTTTTCGTTCAAAATAATTTTCTAAGAGTAACTTAGTATTTTCTCTATTCCACGAAAAGTTTCCAGGTTTCGGATTTGTATTATGACAAATGATTTATAGAATGTGGAACATAATTCACATAATTCAATAAGTATAATATATATATATAATTTAATATAGAATGTATTTTTTTAATTAATTGTAGATACATACCATTTTCTTCATTTGATACATTTATTGCTTTGTGGACAGACATAGTTTGGGCCAAATACATTTTAAAGTATTCTGGGTCTATGAATAATAATATAATTTAAAGATTATTTATATTTATATTATAAATATGTTAAAGATCAGAAAAATGCATTATTATCTTAACTTAAAACATGAAAGGTATATGTGTGTGTTAAAAAAAAGTAAATTATAAATTAATGTAATTGACATGATTTTACTATACGATTTTATACAGGAAATCATTACTATATATTTTTTAATTGCTAAAACAATATAGAGATATAATTAAAACACGAAAACAATTTATAGCTGCATACTTAACATATACAATTTTATAAATCTAGATAATATTGTTGATAACACATATCATTTTGCAATTTCTCATGCACATCGCTTGTTGCAATAATGGTATATACTATATTATTATATGTATAATGTTCTTCTATTTCATCGGTGATACTTTTGCAATCCATGTTTATTTTATGGTTAGGTAATGCAGCACAACACGTTGCGCTTATTAAGCGTACTTTTAGTATGCTGGAAAACATGGCGACCGCTGAGTAAACATGTTGCAAAAGCGTAAAGCGCTGAATAGCGTTTAACCGAAAATCTTACAACAGTTTACAAAGCAGCTTTTTCTGCTGAACGCAACCATTGATTGTTGATATATTTATGTCATACCACGTATATTTCATTTCTCGCCTTTCGTTGTGAGTTAAGCCTAGTACATAATGCAAAGGCACAGGAAATAGGAACAGGGAATGGGAACATGAAATAGAAACTTATATAATACTGAAACACAATTGTCTCCTATGTTAACCAATCATCTGCTGTTGTGCTTGTGCGCATATGCTGAACGAAAATCTGCCTACAATAATATTGAAACCGAATTAAAAAGTTTTATTATTTCGGTTTTTGCCAGACGAGATTTAAGTAGGAGAGGGAATTGCTTTCTGCAATCATTAAAGTCGCAAATATAACATAGATCAACATGAACAAAGTATTTAATTATCATGCATTTTTTGTGTTATATACATCATAATATTTATTCACTTTTTTTATAGGACAAAGATAATTTTATGCTATTTCTGGTTCATGTGCAAATATTTGGATTATATGCCATTTGGAAAAGAAGAAAACGTAAGCGTTGGATCAATAGGAGATGGTGGGTGCGACTCATAAATACAAGACAAGAAGAATATGGTGATTTTACAACCCTTTTTGCGGAATTGAATGAAGATTGTGATCTTTTCTTTCGATGTACACGAATGGACGTCGAAATATTTTATGAATTACTTGAAAATGGTGCGACCTTATCTACAGAAAAACAGTTTACGAGAACCAATTTGTCCGGAACAACGGCTTGTGATTACATTTAGGTAAGATAGATGTGTTATTCTAATAACACATTATAATAATAACAAAGTACAATATTCATTATTATTTAAACAATTTTATCATAGATACCTGGCTAGTGGCGACCAAATATTGTCATTAGTTCTCGCTCATAGAGTAGGAGTGTCTACTGCTCATAAAATAATAAAAGAAACCTGTGAAATTATTGCCAGTGTTTTAATGGGAGTATATATGAAAACTCCTTCAGAAGATGAATGGAAAGATATGAGCAGAGATTTTTTAACTAACTCCGACGAACTTGATTGTTGTAATGGAGAAGGAGTTGTTCTTGGCATCGGCGAGGTTGATTGTTGCAACGGAGAAGGAGTTGTTTTTGGCATTGGCGAGGTTGGTTGTTGCAACGAAGAAGGGGTTGATCTTAACATCGATAAAGTTGATTGCTGTGACGGCAAAAATGCTGGTATATGCAATTCTACAAGTGCTGTTGGCTACAAACAATTTAATAAGTTAATAAGTAATAATTTAATAATTTAATAAGTAAGAATAATAATATGAATAATAAAATAGTAATTCAATGGTAACAAATGTATAGTTAAGAAAATTATACAAATGTTTTATCAGAAATAGAGATAATAAAAATAAATACCAAAGACTTTTATATAAAATAGGACTATTATATTGTTAAAATATACTTTGGCAGTATATATTTTAGCAGTATGTATCCAGATAGCCAAACCTGCGCGAGCTGATTTCGAACAAAGCCTGCTATCATGGTTTGATGGCAAATAAGCAACAAATTTAACGCAGAATCTGTTATATCAAATTATGGTCAAATATGCGCCAGATCCTGTTGTCAGATATTTGACAGATATTGTTTGTAGCCAACAGCACTTGTAGAATTGCATATACCAGCATTTTTGCCGTCACAGCAATCAACTTTATCGATGTTAAGATCAACCCCTTCTTCGTTGCAACAACCAACCTCGCCAATGCCAAAAACAACTCCTTCTCCGTTGCAACAATCAACCTCGCCGATGCCAAGAACAACTCCTTCTCCATTACAACAATCAAGTTCGTCGGAGTTAGTTAAAAAATTAGTAGCAAAAACCGCGCAAGACTTGCAGTAATTTGACGGTAGATTGGCGGCAGAAACTGAGCAAACTCTACGCGCAGACTCTACGTGTAGTTTGGCAGCAGGAATTGCGCGGTTTCTGCCGACAATCTGCTCGCATGGCCTGTCATACAGGTCCTGTCGACAAAACACGAGCTTAATGAGGACACAGATGGCTATGGTTTTGATCTGGAGATCTGATCGAAATTGGCGTCAATCTGCGCGCATTCTGTTAGCATTTTGCTTACTGGGTATGTTTTGAATCTAAAATAATCACCAACGTATTTTCAGATACACTCAAACGCAAAAAACCCGGTACATTAAAAATTTGGGAAAAAATTACAAAATTTCAAATGATCATAACTTGGTAAATAATGAAGATACAAATATGCGCAGAAATGCAAAATGAAGCTTGAAACGTCCTCTTTAAGAATATCTGAATGGCAATTATGCTCGGCCATTTCTTTCAAAATGGCGGATGATAAAGTGAGAGGATGCAAAATTGATAATCAAAGGTCCGTGTTTGCGATGGTGCATGGTGTGCATCAGGTATCGCAGCGTAATGGGACCAAATGCACATGAAAGTATAGAGTGTTATCTTTAAAATGCTACTTTACCGAGCTCGATGTGATCATTTTTCACTGAGTTGTTCCAAATTTTGCTAAAAATGCGGTTTTCTTGTTAAATTTGCATAATTCAGTGAATAAGTATCGCATCAAGCTCTATAACGAAGTATTTTAAGGAAAACATTCTATACTTTTAGGTACTTTTCGTCCCATTGAGCTGCGACACTTACTTTGCTCCATGCGCCGTCGCACGCTCGAACCTTTTCTTAGCAACTTTTCATGTTCTCCTTTTTATCACCCGCCATTTTGAAAAAATATCGTTGCGCACAATTTCGATAGATCTTTCGAAAAGTACGGTTTCAAAGCTTTCAAACCGTTTTTGAAATTTGCTGCTAGGATATTTAGGTGTCGAGATATTCAATTTCGAATTTGCAACAAATGTCGATTCAGCGAGGCTTAAGGGGCTAAGAGGCTCTGCGGTTCGTTTGGCTCTTTCATAATTTCAATAGCTGTGTTCATGTTTCTCTATATAATAATTTACATAACCTGCACAATATATTCAATGATTTGCATTTATTATTTTGAAAGCCAGGGAAATGAAAGTAAAATTCAATTTAGGTTCTTCATTTTGCGTAATCGATATTACGTAATAAAGATGAATTGCGTTTTAAGATACCGCTGTCATTAGCTCAAATTATGGTTGTAAGTCTTCCCAATATAAACCGCATGGAGTTTTGCTGGTAGGAAAAGTCCCATTGTATGTAGTGTGTGTGTGTGTGTGTGTGTGTGTGTTTGTATACCACAAGGATAAGGACCCCGTGGTTCGTCAGCTCCACAGTATTTCAAGATTTCACACCCTCCTTGTGGTGTGTGTGTGTGTGTGTGTGTGTGTGTGTGTGTGTGTGTGTGTGTGTGTGGTGTTACAGCAGAGATAAGGACCCCGCAGTTCGTCACTCCTGCAGTAATTAATGACTCCAAACCCTCTCTGCTGTGTGTGTGGTGTGTGTGTACTAATAGTGGGTATGATTGCCTCGTGCGCGTATTACCTCATTCATACGATCAGGCATACTCCTTATTAGTCTTTTAATTTCATCCTGCGTAATTGTATTCCATTCGTTTTCGAGAATTATTCGCAGTTCTCGCAGTGACTGAGGAGCAGGTATGTGATTTCGTACTTTCCTGCCGAGGTTGTCCCATAAGTGTTCGATTGGATTTAAATCTGGACTATTTGTTGGCCAATCGAGTCGATTTATGCCAACTTCATCGAAGAAATCAAGCACTCTTCTCGCAGTGTGTGGTCGAGCATTGTTTTGCATAAACAAGAAGTTCTCTCCGATGGAGGGTGCGTACGGAACAACATACGGAATGAGTATGTCTTCCACGTATACATCTGCGTTCATATTCTTGTCAAAAAAGTGCAGATCTGTATGAGCATTAGCTGAAATTCCTGCCCAAATCATTACAGAGTACACTCCATTGTAGCTATGCCTCTCACTTACCGTACAGTCTGCAAATCGTTCTCCACCGCGACGATAAACTCGTTCTCGTCCATCTGGAGAATAGACACAAAAACGAGATTCATCGCTAAAGAGTACTTTGCTCCAGTCTGCGTAAGTCCAGTCTCTATGCTCAACTGCAAAATTGAGTCGAGCTACGCGATGGTGACATTTAAGCAAAGGTACAGCTGCTGGCCTGCGCGAAAGCAGATTTTGTTCCTTTAATCTTCTCCGAACGGTGTTAACGGATACATTAATGTTGCGGACATCCCTTAAATTGTTTCTAATTTGAACAGATGTTCGATGTCTGTCTCTTAACGAATTTGAAACAATAAATCGGTCATCATTGTGATTGGTACATCGAGGACGTCCCGAACCAGGCCTTCTATGGAAAGAATTGGTTTGTAAGTACCTGGCATAAGCACGTTGCACAGTTGACACTGACAAATCAAGTGCCTGAGCAACGTACCTTCGACTTCTGCCATCTTCAATTAAAGCAATAACTTGAGCAGCCTTTTCAGGATTTATCGTCGCCATAATCGACGCAATAATTTCGATGCGAAACAATCAATTATGGTTTAAATTGATGAAGTTGCACGAAGCAACGCGCCTCGAAAGGAAAAGATCACGGAAAAAGAAAAGTCGCACGAGGCAGCGCTTATCAGAGTGAACACGTTCGGAAAAGGAAAATTGTTTGTCTTTGTTTATTGTCTTGGCACATACATTTAAGAAAAATCCAGTCAAGCCAGGCGTTAAAGCCCGGCGCACCGACAGAATCTCAGTCAAGCCAGAACGTAAGCCCGGCGTACTGACAAACTCGCGAAGTCCAGCGTACAAGAGATAGTGCCACTATCGGCGGTGGACCATACGAAGGCCAAAAACTGTACGAAGGCAATCTCTGATCGTCTCCGCGGGCACTCTTATATGCCCTGGGCAGCTCGAACTCGCGTGCGAGCCGAGGGGCTCGTGCGCGCGACAACCCAGATCGCCGCGTCGCGGCGGCTCCGTGGACTAGGAGCGCCAGGGAATTTCGACGTTCAGGTGGCGTCCAGCGACTCGGCATCCCGCGCGCCGGGTCACCGCGAACTCAGGCGCGATCCTGAACAGCATATTCAAGCTGTGTACCTGTGGCCAATCGTACGGAGAAGGTAGAGAGCTAGGGACAGCTTCGCGAACTAAAGTGTATACCACAGTGATCATGCGTAACTGAAGGGTAAAGAATATCTTTTGATAAAAATTAAATTTCCAATTCGCAAAATTGTGTAAATTATTGTATAGAGAATAATGAACGCGGCTATTGAAATTATGAAAGAGCCAAATAAACCGCAAAGCCTCTTAGCCCCTTAAGCCTCGCTGAATCGACATTTGTTGCAAATTCGAAATTGAATATCTCGACACCTAAATATCCTAGCAGCAAATTTCAAAAACGGTTTGAAAGCTTTGAAACCGTACTTTTCGAAAGATCTATCGAAATTGTGCGCAACGATATTTTTTCAAAATGGCGGGTGATAAAAAGGAGAACATGAAAAGTTGCTAAGAAAAGGTTCGAGCGTGCGACGGCGCATGGAGCAAAGTAAGTGTCGCAGCTCAATGGGACGAAAAGTACCTAAAAGTATAGAATGTTTTCCTTAAAATACTTCGTTATAGAGCTTGATGCGATACTTATTCACTGAATTATGCAAATTTAACAAGAAAACCGCATTTTTAGCAAAATTTGGAACAACTCAGTGAAAAATGATCACATCGAGCTCGGTAAAGTAGCATTTTAAAGATAACACTCTATACTTTCATGTGCATTTGGTCCCATTACGCTGCGATACCTGATGCACACCATGCACCATCGCAAACACGGACCTTTGATTATCAATTTTGCATCCTCTCACTTTATCATCCGCCATTTTGAGAAAAATGGCCGAGCATAATTGCCATTCAGATATTCTTAAAGAGGACGTTTCAAGCTTCATTTTGCATTTCTGCGCATATTTGTATCTTCATTATTTACCAAGTTATGATCATTTGAAATTTTGTAATTTTTTCCCAAATTTTTAGTGTACCGGGTTTTTTGCGTTTGAATGTAGATTGTTATTGCACAAGGTAACTGGAATCCAATCAGATGGCGATTCTTTATGACAATCCATGAACTAGAAATCAATAAATGTAAATGAGGTTAATATATCTTTCACATAAAATTGCATATAAGATTGTTGTCTACAATACATATAACTGGTTTTGAAATTATGTATTAATTTACTACAGTTACACACTATAATATTCTGCTGAATACATTTGAATTTGAATTTGCAATAATTACATTATACATATATGAAATAATTACATTATAAATTATAAAATAGGCAACGTGCAAATCCTGTTATGATAACATCTTGTACTAATACTGTTACTACAAAACAAATGGTTAAATGTATTATCACAGTATACGTTATTTATTTAAAAATAATAATCTTTCGTACCTTAACGTTGTTGTCATTTTGGTAATTATAGTATTGCACATTTCGAGGCTGATTTGCTAAGATAGATGTTGCACCTACATTACTTACACTTCTGAAATCATGATAATTACAGTATAGATATAGATAAAATGAAATATTGAAAAATGTGATGAGATTATTTTGCCAAATGGTAATTTTGTCAAATAGTCAAAGTGTCCATTATACAAATATCCAAAATCAGTTGCAGACAAGAAATTAGAAGAAACTGGTAAATTCGTTGGCATCATCAAAAATTAGTGCAGTAATGCAGTAAAAAAGAATAAACCTATTATAACGTATGTAATATAACAGATGCTCTGTATTAACTGAGCCTATAATTAATCTTGTAATGAAAAATGAAACAAACTTTCTCTGAAAGACGAATTGCCCCAAAAAATTTAAGTGGTCGAATAGAGGCCATTTTTGTCTGGTAGGTTTGCCTGCTCCATTTCTGGTTTCTAGTTCTCGCTGCTCCCTTTCTTTACTGAATTGTTGGCAGAGACAAACCCAATGTGTTTGGCAAACCAATGCTACACGAAACATATACAAAAATAGAATTAGATCTAAGTAAAAGGAAATTTTAATAGGGAAAATGTATTAAATATATATCATATAATTTTCTGTCACTACCAATAAATATATAAAAATATTTTTACCACCGTAAATATCGTGTACTCTCGGTATTTTACGTCTCTAGCTCATAAAGTATTGGGTTAAATATTTACCTGACATATTCATAACAGAAGATATCTCTGTCCGTGCATTTTCTTTCGTGTTTGGATCACGATATTCCTTCAAATAATGTTTGCACAGATGAAATTATTTACGAATAAAGATAACCTCCAATGTTCATGAAAATACGCAGCCTCTCCATAACACGAACTGTCTCTCTGTGATTGGTCAATTCAATTCAATTCAATTCAATAGATGGCTCTGGGTGTGTAAGCCACTGCTCCGACGCCACTCTCTTGTTAATATCCACAGAGAGGAACCTGAGAGCGGCCAACACGGCGTTTTCGGCGTCACCGATTTTTCGCACTGGGAATGGGCGCTATCTGCATCCATTTTGAGAGGGGAACTACGATGCTACATCCACTCTCGACGGTAAAACCTGCATCTGGTGGCTGTCCGTGCTACATTCACTTTCAGGCGGTTTATATCCGTGCTACAACCATAATAGCGTACTTGACAAGCACGGTCTCGCGCATTGTTATGCATTTGTAACATGAATTAATATGTTAACATGCACAAAAAAAATAAGAATTGAGATTGTATGTGATTAATATCATGAAGATTATATACGATTTATATCGATATATAAATATATGATAAGATAATATTTTGTGTGTACCCAAAATTATTTTTCCAAAATATTTCAGCGTTACGTATTTATTTATACTCCGGCAGTCGTTTTTTAGCGCAGTTGTGTCTGTGTGCATGTGTTGTATTGAAAGTGTGCGTGACGTACGTGTGCATATACGCACTCACATACACACACACACACACACACACACGTGTCATACGCAACAGATAGAATCTCAGGGTATAAGCTTAAACATTTTCAATTGCCGTATGTTCTCTGTAAAAATGTAGTCGGCACACACACACAGAGAAACTGCTCTCGTCTATCCGTCTGAGGTCCCGCCCTCCGCTCGGCTTGTTTTGACGAGCCAAGCGAAAACGAGAGAGAGAGAGACAGAGAGAGAGAGAGAGAGAGAGAGAGAGAGAGGGGGGGGAGGGAGAGAGAGAGGGAGGGAGGGAGGGAGAGAGAGGGAGGGAGGGAGGGAGAGTGAGGGAGAGGGGAGGGAAAGGGGAGGGAGAGGTTAGGGAGAGGGGAGGGATAGGGGGAGAGGGAGAGAGGGAGAGAGGGAGAGGGAGAGAGAGAGAGGGGGGGGAATGTGTTCGCTCCATCTCGCTCTGATTCGCAACGTTGCCGAGATTGTGCTTCCCGACACACGGCCGAGACTGACGTTTCACTCTCGGCGTGAATCCAACGAGATGAGCAATCGATTTCGATCAAACTCGTTGTGTCGATAGATTTGCATGACAAATTAACATTGCACTTAAAGATACAGCGTAGCATTGAAGCGTTTGCAAGAAAGTCGCGATTGAAAATCGCGAGTGCTTCATGAACCAAATGAAGGAGCGAGCTTCTCAAAGAGCGTGTGGCTTGGTAGAAGTACGTTAGACTCGCGGGGTTGAGGTCGGTGGTTCGCATCTCCTTGGCGGTCGGCGTTGTCCTTTTCGCCAATCTTTTTTTTTTCGTTTTTTAGGAAAATGCACGTGTTGCATACAACATACGTGTATCACAATAAATTTTTTTTCATTTTTTAAGAAAATGCACGTACTGCATACAACACACGGGCATCGCAAGCATTGCACGTTTCGTCGATGACACTTCCTCTGAGACCCCGCCCTCCACTCGACTTGTTTCGACGAGCCCAGCAAAAGAGAGACAGAGAATGTGTTCGCTCCATCACCTCGGTGAAGATGGATTTTTTTCAAATTCTTCAAATTTGAAAAAAATTATTAGAGTTCTGAATGCCCCTCGCAGAGTTCTAGAGTTCGCAATCCCTTATATTAGGTTGTTCGGAAAGTTCGTTTCAAATTTCGCGCGCTCCACATTTCTATGTAATCAGTAAGAACGAGGGCACTCTAAACGATTTTATGTTTGTCAACAAACATTCTCGGATCTATGAGCCCGCTAAGGAAACTTCGCAGATCTTCCTAAGTGCAACTATTTCGTCAGAAATCAGTTTGAAAAGTGGAGAACCAAAAAGTCCATTTTCGTCATGTGATGCTATATTGCTTTAAACGTGGCTTCACGGCTTCGCAGACTTGAATGAGATGTTCTCAGTATATGGAGATGCCTGCGTCACTCATCAGACAGTTCGAAAATGGTATCGAAGATTCGAAGCTGGCGATTTCAACATGGAAGATCAAGCTCGCTCAGGCCGGCCTCAGGAGGTTGATGAAACGCTTCTTATGGATCTCGTGCACGAAAATCCTCGAGTGACAGTTAGAGAACTCGCCGACACTCTGCACAAGTCTGTTTCCACCGTGCATGACCATCTGAAAAAGCTAGGATTCTCAAGTCGACTGGATGTGTGGGTGCCGCATAAAATGAATGAACGGCAGTTGCTGGAACGTGTGAACGTCTGCGATATGCTGCTTCAACGGCACCAAAAAGAACCGTTCTTGAAGAGGATCATAACAGGCGATGAAAGTTGGATCCTATACAATTATGTTAGCCGCAAGAGGTCGTGGAGAACCAGCGACGCGTCTACGCAAACAGTGGCCAAGCCGGGGCTTCACGCGAAAAAGGTTCTTCTGAGTATCTGGTGGGATTTTAAGGGCGTGGTATATTATGAGCTTCTTCAACTAAACGAAACCATCAACGCGGCGAAGTACAGCCTTCAACTGGACGAACTGAAGACTGCCATCGCGCGGAAGCGCCCTGAATTGGCCAACAGGCGTGGAATTGTTTTCCATCATGATAATGATCGCCAGATCTCACGTCGCAATGTCTATCCGTAGGAAGCTGTTAGACTTCAAATGAGACGTTCTTCCTCATCCTCCATATTCTCCCGACCTTGCCCCATCTGATTACTATCTGTTTCTTTCTTTAAAAAATTTTCTTCGGGACAAGAAATTCGAGTCTTTGAAAGTCCTCAAAAGTCATCTTGATAAATTCTTCGCCAATAAGAAACATTTATTTTGGAGCAAAGGCATCATGCAGCTTCCTGAAAGATGGGCCAAGGTCGTTGAACAAAACGGTACATATTTGCTTCAATAAAGTTCCTCTTTGTGTAAAATATTGCACTCTTAATTTATTTCAAAAATTTGAAACGAACTTTCCGAACAACCTAATAGAAAGAGTTCCGTCATTTAAAGTAGAGAAAATACCATTTTAAAAATCGGAGGGCCAACTTCACGACGCCCCTCATTATGTAAAAAATGTAAATTTTTTTAGATAGATACATAGATAGATAGATTTTTAATAGTTCTATAGTTCTAGACAAGTTATAAAAATAGTTCTGTTTAAAACAATAAGAAAAATTATATTTAAAATTCTCGAATTAGAAAACGAAAAATGGCAAGAACTCTACCAATTTTGGTTTTAGTGCATCGAGTGTTAATATTAATCTTTAGAACTCGTGAGGGGCTGACCAGAACTCAGAATAAAACATCAGATTTTCAAAAAAGTTGATTGTTTATTAAACACGTAAAATTTTTTTTTCGGAAATCCGATGTTTCATTCAGAGTTCTGGTTGGGGTCAGCCCCTCACGAGTTCTGAAGATTATTATTAAGGGGGTCGTACACGGTGACGGGTCGGAAAAAAATTTTTTTTTTTTTCAATAGATATACATTCCAAGAATATGCCCACGAAGTTTTAAGTTGAAATTTGAAAAAATAACAGAGATGCAGCAGTTCTTGTAAAGCTGTATCTATACCGAGCCTACTCCTCACCGAGCGCAGGTAAGCCATGGGCGTGCCCGAATACCTTTTCAATTGCCTGAAAGGGATCAGCATCCTCTATTGAAATGACCGTGCTGCTGACGTGTACTTTCAACGGTCCCCAGCCTTAGCGTGTTCCACGTAGGCTCGTTTTTTTAGAAGTGTAGAGAGCGCGCAAACAAAAACCGTTAGTTTCAGTCGACCTTCGCCAGTTGCTCCTTTCGCATCATATAGATCGCTTCGTACTGTGTTTTCGCATTATATCATGGATAAAAAAGGAAAAAGGCACCAAAGTGGTACAAAAACGCAGAGACCTGATAGAAAGCGGCGTAGATCGGCTCCACCAAACCGATACGAAGTAGAGAAGGCTGATCCAAATATCAGTACATTGTCGTAAAAACTAAGTAGCTCGGACGAAAGTAATATTATGATTCATCAAAGTGTTGGCTACAGACTTATAAATTTTGTTACTGTTTTTTCACTTATAAGTGAATATCTGAAATGTAAAGAATGTGGAGGTGATGTGCAGATTCTTGAAAGCAGTAGACGAGGACTTGGATTCAAAATCGTTATAAAATGTCAATCGTGCATGCTAAAAAAAATTAATTCATGCCCGTTAGTAAAAAATGCTTACGAGGTGAATCGCCGATTTATTTTTGCAATGCGATTACTTGGAATTGGATTAGCTGGAGCAGAAAAGTTTTGCGCGTTCATGGATTTGCCGCGTCCAATTTTCAAATCATTCTACTCCGTCATCGTATCTCAAATTCTCGATGCCACGGAGAACATAAAAAATTTATCAATAAAAAAAGCCGGTAAATTGGAAGTACGATTGACGAATGAGAAATGTGAAAATGTAAATGGATTGACTGTTTCAGGCGATGGCACATGGCGCAAACGCGGTTTCAATTCGTTACATGGCGTTATAACAATCATTGGATATTACAGTAAAAAAGTACTCGATATCTGCATTAAATCAGCAACTTGCAGCTCATGTACTTTTTGGAAAAATAAAACACATTTATTAAACTATGAAATTTGGCATGAAGAACATGAGAAGGATTGCGAAGCTAATCACACCGGCTCTGCAGGTAAAATGGAACCCGATGCCATGATAGAAATTTTTTCAAGAGCTGAAGAACTACACGGCAAAAATTATGTAAATTATATTGGCGATTGTAAGACGTATAAGAAAATTGTTGAGCAGATTTCGCCCGACGTGAAGAAAAAAGAGTGCGTGAATCATGTGGCAAAACGTATGGGAACAAGATTGCGAAATATTAAGAAAACTACAAAAGGCCTCGGCGGTAAGGGTAAATTAACTGCAAGTGTTATAAAAGACCTTACAATATATTACGGTCTCGCAATACGTCGCCATAGTGATTCTTTAGAAAACATGAGGAAAGCTATCTGGGCAACTTATTTAGACAAGTGCTCCACCGATGAAAATCCGCAGCATGAGAACTGTCCGACCGATGAAGACTCATGGTGCTCGTGGCAAAAAGCAAAGGCAACTGGAACTCTACATAGTTACAAGCATAAACCAGCATT